GAGAGAGAGAGAGATGTAAGAGACAACGTAATATCCTTGTGACATTTATGTTTAGAAACAGATTGCCCGAATAAAAGTTAAATTGCATGGAGCTTCCTGCATGGAACTCGCGAATGTTTAATTTTAATGACATTTTTTAATAAATACACAGTAATTTTCCGACAAAATGTTTGAGGAAAGGAATCGCGTTTGTCGATTTTTTAATATTCATTATCGGATATCTTGGTAATGAAATGAAATGTAAAATTATAAGTTAATAAAACTACCAACTGCACCAAGCATTAAAAATTGTACAATTATAAATTATCGAGTTATAGTATTATTCGTGTTCGCTAAATATTGAATTAACTTGTTCACGTTATAAATGAATTGAAGTAATGGATTAACCACAATAGATTAATCGCTTTTATTTATCAATCAATGTTCCCCCGGAGAACAGTTACCTCCGGGGTGCAATTACAATTCAAGTGGCTAGGCCGCGCGTAAACTTAATTAATTTATAACCGGGAAACAATAGAAGACCTAAAATAACGATTGGGACGAACTCCCTTAAGTAGAGTAATTAAAAATACATAAAAGCATCTATTATTATTGGCCCAAGTTGACTGAAACATTGTGATATAAAGAACATCCAGTTAACTTTAAACAAGTTTACGCATTTTTTTCAATTTTTGAGAAAATATAGAAATAGCCAGATTCAAAGGCTTCACGCTGTAAATATTGAACAGTGCAATTATCGTATTACTTACCATACGCATGAAATTTGAACACGTTTCGCAATTATTCTTGCGCGCGATGATTAAAATAAATATTTCGTGATGCATTATTGGCGCTTCAGTGATACGTCGTGTGCAAACGATACATCACGTTGCTGCGAGATTATAAAACTAATATCGTCCGTTCAACTTTCCATTTCCACAATGTAAAGTGATGTTATAAATATTCGGCCAGGCCAATAAATCGTTATTTTATATGAGGCTTAGTGCGCGCGTTGCTTTGACAAATATTTTATGCCACTCGAGACAGACGCAGTGCTTCGATGTTCATGATTCGTTGCTCTCGTTAAAACGCACGTGACGGCGCAATAGCGGCGATTAACGGCTTGTTGACGCATATAATACCGTATCTCGAACGGTGAAGTATAGTTTTAATTTCCTGTCAAGCCTCAAATTGCAGCTTGTTGACGTAGATGGTGATGCACCGAGTTGTTCTATGCATAAGAATCGTGGGGGCGCGTTACAAGACTGATATAAATGAGGAATATAATAATGAATATTCATTAAAACACCAACTATGGAGAGGCGCTGATGAATTCTTCATCACAAAAGCATTAATCTAAAATATATTGTTGAATATCTCGTTTATAGCTTTCTGTGAACATACCACAGCTTACATAAGCTCAAATACGCATTCATGCGTGAACGCGGATGCGTGTGTGTATTTAATGCAAATTCCTCGTACAAAGTGGCATGAACATACCACGGCTTATAACATGCTCGTATATTGTACCGAAATCTGAACATTAAGATAACGGGAGAAATTACACATTTATCAAGTGCGTTAGAAACTACTCGCGAGAAGTTTCCACGCGTTATATAGTATGTTATAAAAGCGTCCCTTAATTTCCGATTACGTCATTAAGATCTGAGAACTTCAACTGTCACATCTGGTGGGTAATCATATAATTGTTAGTGAACTTGTCTCCTTTTCACTTTTGGCCGCCATTTGAGATCTCGCGCAAATATCATCTCGTGAAATCTCGTTGTTTAATGTTGAAAGAACTCACGCGATCTCGGCAAATTCACGTGAAGATTTTCGCTTATCATCTTTCTACTTCTAGAGGAAAATTACGTAATTGATCTTCCGAGTTGTCCAATTTTCCTACAATAAAAGAGTCTAGATTCATTCTTCTTGATTCATCCCGGCTGCTCTCAGAGAACAATGCGCTGGCTTTATTTTACGAAAGCACCGGCGATTCTTCCCACCGGGCCAGCAGCATCGTAAAATCGAGCCGGTGAATACGGTGCCGAGAAAAAGAAAAAGAGAGCAGATCGAAGCGGGAAAGTATTACGAGGCGCTACACACTTTTATAAGCAAGAAACCGTCTCTCTCTTACCTCACGGACGGCGGTGGAAACGCGAGGCAAAGTAAAAAGAAGAAACAAAAACAAGAAAAAAAAAAAACGAAAAGTTTAAGCGAACAACATTTCGGCTGTATCGCAGGCACGGCACGTGGCGCAATATTGAAACATGCGCGGAGTCAAAGTTTGCGAATATCGTCTCATCGCCGAGTCATGCTTCTGGATGGTGCAGCATCAGACGCGCAGTATCCGCCCGGCCGTTGCATCGCGGTTGCATCGAACGGAAGAAGACAGTTCGCGACTGCGAACTGTCAGCCGAAAACGTGCGAGATTCCGGAATACGTCGGGATTATCCTTCTGGCTGTTTCATGCGTTGCGAGGCCGGATGAATGGGCGAGAACCGAGGGTTATCGTGTCGAAAGGATCGGGTTGTGCAGCGTTGGTTTGCAGCGGAGGTCCGATGGTCTCGAGAAAACAGGGAGAAGGGGGAAGCACTAGAGATATTATGATAAGATATTCACTGACAGAAACAGGAGAGGAAAGGAATTTTCAGCTTCCACCGCCGTCGTCCCCACCCCTTCCCTTCCCCCCCCCGCGGCTGTATCCAGAATGTAATATAAGGAGACGTAGGGGAAAATAGCGACGTTACTCGCTTCGAGTGGCCTCGTCTAAGGGGGATGAAATAGGAAGATAGAGGAGAGAGATAGAGAAAAGAAGAGAACTCGGAGAGATTTCGCTTCTCTCAAGAGGGAGGATGATGCCGCGAGCGGTAGGTGTGTATATGGGTGTACGTGCGGGTGCGCATGCACAGTCGTCTTGCTCTTATTTTATGGCGAAATTATTCTGGGAGAAAAATAATTCAATCTCCGCGCACGGTACAAGTTACGGTACTTGGCATCCGCGCTCCCGTACTCGAGTGCCGCTCGTTTCTGTGGACTCGGAATTCCGATCGAAGAACAGATCGGCTTTCACTTTCGGTCCCTCGGCCCGTACCGATAATCACGTGAAAAATAAAAGGTTCACCTCGTCGGGAAAATTGATCCCACCGTCGTACGTTCTTTTGCCGTGGCTTGGTTTACGAGACGAGAACGATAGACGAGTGTGCGACAAATTATTTACGCGGCGCAATTGTCTTCGATTTTTACGTGTTTTTCTAGACATCGTTACGAAAGGAGAAAACTTTTTTATCTTTTAAAGTGAAATTTGAAGATCGCTTAGGATGATGTTGCAAATCAAAATACGAATTTCTAGCACGGAGAAACTTCTTCAAATATTCAATTTGAAAAATGGTTAGTGTAAAAATGTATTGACTCGTCAATATATTACATTTTGTAGAAAAATGTTTACATTGGATATACGCAATCCAGAGTACAACTTTTTTTTAGAAACGAGCGAAGGGAATAACCGTAATGGGCGAATATCCTCCGAATTCGAAATATCAAAAAATCGTTTCGAATTTTCAAGCAAAAGTTTGATGGAAAGCGTGCACGTACGCGCATGCTGCTATATGGAAATTCTATATAGCAATCGAATAACTAAACGTCAAAAATCAGGTGTCAGATTCCGTAGTTACATTCGAACAACTCGAAATCGTTATCACATTCGAAGCTCGCGTTTGTTAAAAAATTGAATTTGTAAAATTTAAAGCATATCAATTCAGCAGTATCTAAACT